CACACACACACACACACACACACACACACACACACACACACTCACACACAATCAATCAATCAATCAATAAATCAAACCCGTTTTTTCACGTTTTTTGTTTATTTATTTCAAATTTTGCATCTTTATTTTTCTAAAACACCTCATACCCCTTCAAAAAGCAGAAATTCATTTCTCAAAAATACAGGTGAACTCAGGGACCATATATCTGATGATAAAAAATGACAAAAAAAAATTCCAGCTTTTCTTTATATTTTGTTTTTTAGTTTTCTTTAAATCGAATTTAGTTTTTGATTTTTAAAAAATCCTAAACAAAGTCGGATTCCAAAGAAAAACATATGGGGTTGTAGGGCTTAAAATTCCCTACAACCCCTTTTTTTTTTTTTTTTTTTGGGCTATTATTTAATTCAGGAAGAATCTGGTAAAATCGGGTCTGCGGCGCGGACCCGGTAGGCCGCGGAGGCGGCCGTGAATACGTCCRCCCTCCGAGCTCGGCCCCACGGACACGTCCGCGGGTGTTTCATAGGCCCGAATCAGCCTCAGAATGCCCTGCACGGCCGACGAATGTTACACAGAAACGATTTTTTTTTTTTTCTTTCTAAAATTAAAAAAATATATATTCCAAACTCCAATCGAAAATATATATATATATATATATGGGAAGGTGCCCGTTTACATTACCCACACGTGTGTGCAAAAAAAAAATACCACCGCCAGCCAAAAAAAAAAAAAAAAACGGAGCTCCCGCTCTGCGTGAACTCCGACCGTTCACGACCATTCACGTTTTTCGTGAACGGTGGCCGGCCTGCGTTCACCAAGGCCGTGAATGATGAACGGGGGTATGGCACTGTACCTGACTGAACTGCGAGAAAAGGCCAGCCTGAGTTTCAACTGCAACTGAAACTCGGGCCCTGACTAAACTGCTAAAACGCAGTTTGAAATGCAATTCCGAACTGCAACCCGGACTGTGCTGTAGTTAGTTCTTTTCTTGTTTTTTAATAAAGGGCGACGGCCTTGAGATATTATCATTGAGATGACCGGCCCCAAGCAATTCATTTGTAGTTGGTTTTACTCGTCAAGCTCCATCATCTGGATTCGAACACAGGCCTGTATTTCAACAGTTCATGGGTGCCCCTTCTGGGGAGAGAATTGAATACAAAGGTTTCCTCGTAGGGAGGTCCTCTAACTTTCCCCGAATAGGAAGGGTAACGCAGCCTAGACAGATGGTCGAAAGCCTGAGAGGCAGGGTTTACAAGAAGGAAGGGAAAGCATGGAACAACACAAGACCCTTCAACAAGCAACACAAGAAAGAGAATGAGACAAACCAAACACACAGAGCCATCGAGAAGACCGAAGTCCATG